TAAGACTCCAACTCACAAAAAAAAAAAAAAAAAAGTGAAAAACTTGTTTTAATTTGGAGTTATTCATGTATGTGTGTATATATGTGTGTGCATGCATATGTATACGTGTGTGTGTGTGTGTGTGTGTGTGTGTGTGTGTGTACACGCACTTTCCTCTGGTAATTGTTTTATAAGTCATCTACTTAACCTGAGTTCCCTGGGATCAAGAGAGGAAGCCTGATTCTTGCTCTGGACATTGCAAAAACTGTATATACACATGTATTTATTTTTAATTATAAAAAGAACAGAAAATATTTCTCCTATGTCTTCTTGCCAATTTATTTAATAACTATTACTATTTTGCTATATTGCGTCTGCTTCTTTAAAAAAATAAAATAAATACAGATAAATCTAAAGTCTCACTCATCCATTCATTCCCCCTACTCCCTCCCCAGAGATTACATAACCACTGCCTGGAAGTTTGTGTTCCCTTCCATTTTATTCTCGTTTTCCATCAGATTTCATAGAACAATTTTATGTGATTTTTTGAGATTTCAATAAAAGATCTCATACTTCATATAGCATTTTGTGACTTGATTTTTTTCATGTAATGTGAAGTTTTTTCAGATGTATCCAGACTGATACACATAGATCTGGCTCAGTCATTTATTGCTATGTATTTCATTGTTTGTATACCTCATAGTTTGTCCATTCTCCTATGCATGAACGTTTCATTTGCTTCTAGGTTTTTACTGTGCCCGGCAATGCTGCAATAAGCACATCTTGTACTGCTCTCACCCCTTGTTACCATTTTTCTATACAGCAAAAATACCCTTGGAAAATTATAAATGGTGCCCCAAGGCCACTGTGTTAACCTTGGTTAGTGAGGGTTTAGACTCTTCTATGATCGCAACTCATGACATGGAACTCTGTTCCTGGAATCTGAAGAGTTCTTTCCATCCTTTCTTAAGTGCTTCTCTGCTCTGCATGTCCATTCAACACACACATCCTGAGTGCCAGTGGGTGCCAGGCCCCATGCTAGGTGCCAGTTGACAATACAGCATAGCATGTGCTACAGTTCTGCTAGCCTACTGCAAAATCAGTCCTTGTTAGTATGTGTTTGAAACATGCCTTTTAAT